TCAGCCTGTGCTGGGGGGTTGGCTTAGGGCTGGCCCGAGAGAGCATTGGCGCTATCCAAGGAGTGCCACATGTCATTTGACGGCCAGCTCACCGGTTCATGCTGACCGTCGCGTACACCGGCTTGTACTAGTTGTGAAGAACCAATCCCGTTTTGGAGTACGTGTTTGCGATCTCATGAAGCTCTTCCAGGTCGTCTTTTTGGTCGTGGTAAATGTCGGAACAGACAAGTGGTTGAGAAAAAAATCAGGTGTACCAAATCATTCACCCAGACCCTCTACCCAAAATGGCCGAACAATACTACTACGAGACACCTACTGGATCTAGGATCAGGGGGCCATTCAATGTGAAGATCAGTATAGTATAACTCTATTACAAAAGACGACTTTTTGCCCAGAACGGAGTCCTGGCCCATACAGTATATTACATCCTCAATGCGACCGAAGCCTCTTTAATGACCCCTTAGAGACTAGAAAACCGTAGCTGCCCAAGACCCCTTTTGCCCAGGGCCTAGCCGTGGAGGCCTGGGTAGAGCTTGAAGCCCATCCAGAGCGCGTTAGCCGATGAATTGATTCAATGCCCTCTCATTTATTGCAAACCGCTTGACAGAGCCTGAGTGCTGCTTTACCACCAGATGACCCGGGCGTTTCTCTCGTCAGGCCGAATAGGGGCAATTCGTGAAATACAATACATATCGAGTGGTGAGCCTTTAGTCCGTGTTGGATTACAAGGCGTATGCGATAAATGATGCGGCCTGTTCTGAACAATAGCTGACGCTTTCCACAAGGATGAGTGAACGTCAAATCATGCAATAGCATGTTGAGGCTCAGTGCCAACGCAACTGACTTGCTGCAGCTAAAATCCTCACATGCTCCTCTACAGGCGTACTTCTGTTGAATACCACCACAGCAGCCAAACTTCCTAACTCTCAGCCATCTCAACAAAACACTAAACGCAACTCCTGCAATTGCTCATCTCACAACAAAGTTTCAGGGCCATATTCAACTGCCAGCGCAAAACATATAGCTCCATGCTACAGCCACACGAGAGCCATGCTGCCGTCACACGACAGCCCGGTCTCCCGTCTTCATCGTGCTACCCCCCGCGCGCCTTGACAAAGTCGACGAGATCAAAGAAACTCTTCTTGTAGTTCCTCACCTGCGAAGTCCTATTGACAGTCTGGATGTCGACATTCGACGCCCCGTCACCAAACTCCCTGCACGCCCATCGTCAGCGCATGATGACAGAAGCACACAGAAGAGGGAAACCAAAAAAAGAAAAAAAAAGAAAAAGAAAAAGGAAAAAAAAAGGCAAGAAAGGGAGTCGCTCACCAGTTGTCCGCAAAAGACCAGGCATACGCCCCCGCGACATCCACGCCGTGCTCCCAAATGGCCTTGAGCACCTCGGTCAGGTAGCTGAGGTCGTAGTTGCTCCGCGGCGTGTCGAACAGCTGGTCCGCGAGCGCGACCTTGTCCGTCTCGGCAAAGACGGGGAAGCCAAACTCGGTGATGACAACGGGCCGGCGCCACGTGCTCCAGACGAGTCGTCAGCAGTGGCCGTAGACTTATCTCGAGGATCCCATTTGCCCCATGTTGTGTAAGAGAGGGACGTGACGAGGCTGGTCAGCGACTCAGACGGCTCTGCGTACGTCTCGGTCGTTGTGGCCGGCGGCACTGACGTCGCATACCTCACAGTGTCAGTCAGAGTGTGGCTGAAAGGCGTAAAGCTGTATTCAGGCTCGCGAGTCCTCGTCGCCTTGCACTGTGGTCGTGGTGTTGGGCCCTCGGCGTCGAGGTAGACCTGCTGGGCAGCTCCTAGCGTGGCCAAAACGAGTTGCGCCTTGATGAACATGGTAGCAGAGCACAGAGACTATTCTTCAAGTTGACCATGTGAAGATGTCAAACACGCAGAGGCATGTCCTCGCGATCAGGTGCTGGCTAGCTCAGCTTTATATAGGCAGATGTCGTCGTGGTTCAGCAGTAGGACTCCAAAGGCAATGATGGTGCCTCGGGTTCGCTCCCTACACGAGCGCTCATCGGCAAAGCAACATTCAGTTGATGAACTGGACCCTCTTGTCGAACAGAAGAATCGGCCCGAGTTTAATGTGGAATCCAGGGCTCCGTCGTAATGGCATCGCGAGAAAACAGGGTGTGCTATTGGCGATCCCCCGCAGTATTCCAACCGGGGACCACGATCATGACCCAACGGACTGGGGAAGCGCGGAATGCTCCGCACGTGGTTTGTGTCTAAGTCGCTTTCTCGGGGTGTTAGCTGCTTGATTTTCCATGGAGAATCTTCACACCAAGGGCGCCAAGTGGAAATCCGAGTGTCGATCTGCTGTTAGCCCGCCGACGCAGCGCATGTAAGAACAACGATCCTGTAGCTTGGAAGGGCACTGGCTCTGAGGGGTGATGTACCGAGTTCTTGTGAATGGCAGACGTAGCGTGACTGGGAGGAGTTCCGGGGGATTGCGTGGAGGAGTCGGACGATCCTCAACCTGAAGTGGACGACAGGTCATAGGCATCGTATGATGGACGACGTCGCCGAACTCCACTGCGACTCGGACAGATTCAGTCAGCGATGAGAGGAGCATGGGACCATGAAAATTGCAGGGCACGCTCAAATCAAGTCGCTTATAGAACTCCTCCTCTATCCTCTATACCTGCAGGTATGAGCCCGGAGCAAATTGGAAAATACCAAGAAAGAAAACCGCAAAGCCATGCCATGCTTTACCATGCCAGAATGCACGCCGCTCCATCATGCATGGCTCAAGCAGCAGAAGACGTCTGCGAGCGCCCGACCCATAGATACCCCAGGATGCCGAGACCGAGCAGACCAGCGATGGCATACGCCCCGGCCCTCGTCGTCCACAAATACATGGTCGAACCAGCCCACTTCTCACTCCGCCGCGCCGCCGCGCGTGCGGCCCACGTGTCGACGTCGACGTCGACGGGCGGCTTCGCCCTCGGATCGTCCGTGCCCCCAGCCGAAGCGACAGCCGCAGCCAAGGCCTCTCTCATCTGGGCCGGCGACAGCATCGGCACGTCGACACGCAAGAACACGGGCCTGTGGTCCGAGGTGCGCAGCACGGGCAGCGCGTCGTAGGCCCTCACGTCGATGCGCGCCGCAGAGGCGACGCCCTCGTTTGCCCCTGGCACGTCCAGGTACAGCACGCGATCCGTCCACGACGGCCAGCGGTGCGACGCGAATTCCCAGTTGACCCCACCCTTGTCGTCCTCGCCGTCGAGCACGCGATACTTGTACGTGGGCGGGAACCGCACCTCGGCCTCGCTCATGCCGTGCAACGTCCTGCCGGCCTCGCGCTCGGCCGTCAGCTGATCCGTCTCGAAGAAGCGCGGGTAGTGGTGCTCGCTCGCGTCGTCGAGGCTCGGGAACGGCGCCTTGGGCGGCGGGCTCTCCGCCGAGATGCGGTAGTTCAGGTCTCCCGCGACAAACAGGTGCGCGCTCGGCCTGAAGACGGACAGGTCCTGTAAGCGCGCCTGCTGCGCCTTGCTCTGGGCATCGTCTTCTTCGGCGGCCAGCAACCTCGAGCGCTCGTTGTCTGCAGCAGCTTCCTCGCCTGCGGCCGCCGTCAGTGCTGGGGACTCCCGCACCACAGCCTTTGGGTCCTCAAACGCGAGTCCCTGCATGATGGACCCCCAATTTTCGTTCCTCTTGCGTAGGTTCCACTCCATAGCTGCAAGGTGCGTTGCCACAAACGTCACCTCCGTCTCGTCCTCGCCGCGTCCAAACGTCGCGCGCAGTGCGACGGCGCCCTTGTTGCCCATGTTGTTGGCTCCGAACCCGACCTCGGCCTCCTGGATGTCTCGCAGCGCTGCCGGGTCGCGTGCGAAGAGCATGATGGCCGTCATGCCGACGTTGCGTGCCCGAACGAGGGTATACGGCCGTACAGGACCGGTACTCGCCGTCGGTGCGACGGTCACTGTCTCGTCGCGGCCATTTGTGTTCGCGTCTTGTGCGGCGGCGGCGGCGGCGGCTAGGTTGAGGGCCTCTTCGAAGGCGAGGAGGTAAGGGCTGATGAAGGAGCCGCCGATGAAGGCACTGGCGAGAGGGGAGACTTCTTGCAGGGAACTATTGGTCGGTAAGGTAGCTGGTCAGTCCATGTCTCTGTCTTGCCACGCTACCCCCGCTTTTCAAAAGGGAATACCCCCTGGAGAACAGAGGCCAAGAAGAAGGAAAACAAGAAGCAAGCTGTGGGACGTACAAAACGACTACCTCTGGCAGAGCTGTCGCATTCTGCTTAAAGGCAGCCTGCAGGTGCGAAGCAAAGACAGCGGCATTGATGAGTCGCTTGGCGCAGTTGAAGGTGAGGACGAAGAGGTCAAGCGTCGAGGGTGCCATCTTGATGGCGATGGGTGTGACGGAGGGGTTGGCAATGGCCATGGCCGAAAGTCAAAGCACTGACGTCTAGATTCCGAATCCAAGTCCAGGGTTGGGGTTGCCCAGCATTCCCTTGGCCGGGGTCTAGAACTTGGGGAGGGGGCTGTTGCTGTTGGTGTGGCCGAATGCTGGGTTAGGTGTTGCTTGCTGGTTGGGTTGGTTGCACAGCCTCGTGCCGCCTTGCCGGCAATTATCCGATGTAGGTACTCACACAGGTATCCCAGCCCAGGGACTAGGAACCTAAGGCAAGGAAATACTGAATGACATCTGTCGAAACGATGATTCGGTGGTTCGCCCAGCAGAGAGCGGCTCCCTGCTTTTACATGTATTTATGTCTCTCCACCCTCCTCACATCCACCCTCATCGTGGCCGTCATGGCAGTGCCCTCTGTCCAGGCTTCCGTCCCATCCCATGCAGACCCCAGAAACCCCGGCCAAGTCTAACCCCCGTTCGGCAGCTGACCTTGCCCAGCTGCGTGTACAGCCTCCTGACAGGCATCACGGATGCTCTGCCACGCCAGCCTCTCTGCCATTAGCTCTCAATAGTAGGTGTTTACCCTCGTCCAAGCTGGACGCCTTGTCTCACATGTGCCGGCCTTGCTGCTGCTGCGCCCAAAGTGGCCTCAAGTTTGTCCAAGACTTGAATCAACACACTGTCAGCTCCTCCCACATCATCACTGCAGTGCCGTCCACAAGAAACATATGCAAAGTACTCGTAGTGGGAAACAATTTGATTTTGAGGAAAAGCTATCTCGTGTGTACCTAAGGCCTTCGACCCGCGATCCTTTCGTCCGCGCGACAGGAGCGAAAAGCATCGGAAGAACACCACCGCCATCCTGACGTTGACCAGAGTCCGGAGATGATATCGTCGGCAGGCCAGAACATGGTGTTGGGTGCTCGTTGCGTTGGCCAGGACGCTGGCGTTAAGGGCCGTTTGGCTTCGCACGTTTGGCCCTGCAACCCTGGCGCAGTCACATTCCAACCCAGGCCCCGTAGACAATCGAGTTTGTTTGACAGGCCACCAACACACACAGGGAGATGGGCCATGTGATATGGCCGCCTATGCCCAGTTGCCGCCGTATCCCTGATGTCTTCTGCTGGGTGGGGTAGAAGCCCATTTGCCAACCGGGGATCATGAATGCTGATGGTTGTTCACGCAATCGAGGCTAAATGCTTTGCCTCTCCCAAATTGGACGTCAGTATTCCGTGACAGTCGCTGTGACCTGGCCTTCCCCCGTCGAACGTGGTGTTGCCTCCCCAGAATCCACCCGCAGCGCGACAAATGCCATGCTAAGACCACGATAGGAAAAGGCCAATCATCAATCGCATACCCATTAGAAAAGAAAAAGACAATGCTAGGAAAGTGTAGTTGGGACAGCCCCAACAACGCACCGACCACGCCGTCGGATCCGAAGAGAGGTTGTCGAATTTCGGAATAGACGTTTGCGAGTGACACAGGACGACAAACGGTTTCGTAGCGCGGGGCCCTGTGCAGTCTGCGTTGATATGAGCTGATCTCAATAACGATGCCCCGACGGATCGAGACACCGGACATGCCGTTCAGAACCATCCCATGTAGTCAACAATTCGTCATCGATGCGGATGTAGTCCACAACCGAAGAGGAATCATCTGAACTTGGGGGTCCCGAGCCATAGCATCAAAATATCAATACCGCACTGTCGAAGAACCATGTTGAAAGCGTGAACAGAAGGAGACGTGACCGTTGCAAGTGGGCGAGGCGAGGAGATCGAAAGACAAAGCGTGCTCTCGAGACCGCATGGTGGATAAATGATGTGTCCAACCAGCGGAGCAACGCTCGCCTCTGCTGCCACGAATAAGACGGTCCATAGACTCAGTCTGGTCGTACTCCAGAAAGAGGGGAAGGGGTGGGGGGGATTTGAGTTTAGAAGTGCTGTCAACTGCTGCTGATCATCTCGCGCGATGGGCGCCATACCCGGCACCAGCACCCTTGGAGGCTGACCTCAACCTAGTAGGCCAAACGGTTAGGAACCTGAATCATCCATCGTGTACATTTCTTACGCGGGTGCACTCACGTTCTGTCGCTTCCGCCAATGGCAGGGCTGGTGTCAAGCGTGTGCGCACGGGCACCAGCATCTTGTTCAATCATTTTGCGGCGCGAGCTGGAAATGGCGTTAGGCTTCACTCCGGCACCTTGAGGGAGGTTCGGCTGACCAGCAGTTCCGGCCGTGGCACGAGTAGCCCGGGCCTTGTCGTCCTCTTCCTGATTTCCTGCAGCCTGGGCAATAGCCTGGGCGTTCTTCTGGTACTTGTAGACAGTCCAGTCGAAGACGTAATCATACTGGAATCCCTCGCGAACGAAAAGATCACGGAAGATCTTGCGAAGGTAGCTGTAGTCGGGCTTATCATCGAATCGGAGGGAGCGAGTGTAGTTCAGGTAGATCGCAAACTCATTAGGGAAGCCGCGGCAG